GGAAATTTACTAAATATCTTCATGGAACATGATCTTTACTTAATATCCTAATGATTTTTGGCATAAAAGAAATATTTCTAATTTTGACCCATACAATGTATTGTTGGCTATTGCTACAAATATACCCCAGCGACTTAAGACTGCTTTTGTGCTCCAGGCTCACATATGGTTTCAAAAGATATTTTTTCTTACTGTTTTTTTGGGGGGGGTTCCTTTAAGGTTTGACAGACAATCAAAAAAATCGAGAATCGAATCGAGAGCTTGCGAATCGAAATCGAATTTAATTGGGACATCTGAATCTGAAAATCTGGAATCTGAGGGTGCAAAAAAAAATCTAATTATTGAGAAAATCATCTTTAAAGTTGTCCAAATTAAGTTCTTAGCAATGCATATTACTAATCAAAAATTAAGTTTTGATATATTTATGGTAGGAAATTTACTAAATATCTTCATGGAACATGATCTTTACTTAATATCCTAACGATTTTTGGCATAAAAGATAAATCTATAATTTTGACCCATGCAATGTATTGTTGGCTATTGCTACAAATATACCCCAGCGACTTAACACTGCTTTTGTGCTCCAGGCTCACATATGGTTTCAAAAGATATTTTTTCTTACTGTTTTTTTTGGGGGGGTTCCTTTAAGGTTTGACAGACATGTAAACGGAGAATGAATAAATAATGAGAGAACTTTCAGTGGTAAATGTCTAACCAGATCTCTCTCTTCCACGGCTCTGTCTCTCATTGCCTGATGCTGCTTGCTGATCTCCACGGCAGTCGCAGTCCTCTGATGGAGCTGGTGAAGCACTGGGTTTATCCTCTGAATCAGCTCTTGAGCCTTCCTCAGCTTCCCATGGAGGAAAGGACGCAAATGTGTTACTTTCATACTTAAAGGTTCAATTAACAAACTTTGAATGTTATTTTCATTTCAGTATCTAAACACGATAGATGTGAAGTCTCACCTCCGCTAACAAGCTCACGTGATCTTCGTGCTTCCTTCTCAAATGCTCATTTGCTGCACTGATGGATTCCATGTATGACTTGCTCAGTTCAACCTTGGGAAGTTCACACAACTCACTCAGAATACAAGGACATTACACACACACACACACACTCAAGCAAGCCTTCACTTCCAGAGGGTCTGTGGTCACTACTAAGCTAGCAGGAACCTTATATTTTCATATAAACTGAGGTCGGGATGCAAACTGACCAGTGATGGGTAAGCCAGTTTAAGGGCTGACATCAGTTCCTGGTGAGACCCAACAGTGTGCTCTAGCTCTGCCACCTGAGCAGCATGAGAGTCCCTCAACTGCTGCGTTACGCTGAAGGCCTGCACACAAAGACAAATGAACAGGAGGCAAAGATCAACAGGGATAGTTTCTCCAAAACTGAAAATGAACTGCTAGTTTACTCCTCCTCAGGCCATCCAAGATGTAGGAGACTTTTTCTTCAGTAGACCAGAAATGGAGATTTTTATCTGAAACGGTCAGCCTTGGTGATTCATAAAATGCAAGTCGATGATGGGTACCGTCACTTTAAGAGTCAAAAAAAGCACATCAGGGAACACAAAATGAATAGCCGTCACCTACTCCTGAGGATGAGTAAATTAACAGCACATTTTCATTTTTGGGTGAATTCACCTTTTAATAAAAATATCTTGTGATCTTAAAACCAAGAGAAATGTCCTCTCACCGCGTCTTTCTGCTCTAGAGACTCGTCCATGAGACGTCTCATGTCTTTCATCTTCTGCTCCATCCTCCGGAGCGCTTCCTTGTACCTCCCATAAAGACACTTCATCTGACTGACCTACATAACACAGACGTATTAGGAGTCGTGATTTCTTGACACATATCTTAGCTGACAAAATGCATTGGAAATTAAATAGTGACTTACCTGTCTAGATAAAGTTTCCTGATCAACATGAACTGTATTTCCAATCCGTTTCATCTTGAAGATGGCATCCTCTGTGCTAGACTTAAACGAATTCTGTAGAAGAATCCTAACATTTTAGGCCTGTAGCATGTGCAACTTTGAAAACTTAAGATCATTAAATGATAGGGCATCTCTCACCATCCCAATCCTCATTGCTTGAATGCTGTCATATAAACAGTGAAGAAGCTCCTGATCGTGCTCGAGACTCTGAATTCTCTCCAGGGCAATGCCATACAAATCTCTGTATGTCCCATTCTGGCAAATAAAGACAGGATAAAGAAAATCAAAACCAGTTTTTCTTCCAAAAATGATTTCTGCACAGCCGTCTTTAACATCAAAATGTTCTGATTGTAGCTCAGCACAGCTTTGAGCCTTCAGTGAGGTCAGTAAAATCACTGGAGATTAGGTCTGGGCAACACCATCAAAATTATTCTATTATTATTCAATTATTCTATATCGATATTTATCAAATTATTTCACACCACTAATGCGGAAGGAAATGCATTCCACATGTTTGTTAGACATCGAGAATGAATGTAAACATGACTTGTTTATTTAAAAGTAAACAACTCAAGAGTAAGGTACTTTTTAATCGAGGTCTTTTTTTTTCTCCAAATTTCTGTTTTCAAAACTGATTTTGTTTTATGATTTAATACAAATGGGTTTCCCATACTATGGAAGTCAATGGCTACCGTCAACTATTTGGTTACCAACATTCTTCAAAATATCTTCTTCTGCGTTCAACAGAATAAAGAAACTCATCCGATGTGAATGACGACAGAATGTTCATTTTTGGGTGAACTTTCCCTTTAATTTGCATATTGAAATATCACCTAGACCTGCCGGAAGTGCTTGGCATCTCACCTGTCTGAGCTCAGTGTGGTCCGTCTGGATGAGTTTCTCTCTGAGGTCTGATGGAGAAGCGTCTTTGCTCGGATTATGAGCCCGTGCAGAAGTGAGCTGCTGGGAAAGCACCTCCACCATGACGAGCGTGGAAGTCAATCTCTGCTCCAACTCCGATCGAGACAGATGCTCCAGATTTCCAGGAGTCAGGCTGCAAAGACAGAGTCGCACAGAGACGATGTAGACCACACCAACAGAGAGAAAACAACTCGTGCTTATCGGCTTATCTTACTTACTTCCACAGCAGAGAGTCCGTTGAAGTGCAGGCATCAGAAACATCAACCGTCTGTAATATCTCCACCGCTGTGGAAGTATTAGTGCTCCGCTCCATCTGCTGAACCGGGGTGCTCCAGACGCACGCGCTACGCATCTCTACCGGAGAAGTGCCCACTAAAGCACTGTGATGATTCACTGCTGCTGGAGCACGAGCATACACTTTCCCCGACGCAACCATCAACAATTCAGCCATCTGTCTGAGCTGCTCCTGTAGGGGCCCGCTGCCTAAAACCTGAGGGCCGTTCGACAACTTCTGATGGTCAGCACAAGCCATTTTCAGTTCCACGTCCTTGGCTGGGTCTTGAGGAACAGGTGTGCAGCCAAAATCATTAGCCAGGGATGTGGAGTTCAACAGCGGAGGCGGCATGGGACTCTCCGGGAGCTCCGGCCACAGATGGCTCATTGGGTTCTCCACTGTGCGGTCACGCAACACACTCCTGTTTAAGCTGGGCATCTCTGGAGTGCAGGAACCTGTCAGAGCAATCGCACTGGGAAGATCTCGGTGAACAGAGACAGCTTCAGCAGAGCTATCACAGAGCCGCATAACTTCGATCTCCTCGTCCTTTAAACCTGGTGTCTTATCTTTGAGAACGCTGGTTTCTAGGCCAACGTCTTCACAAAAGGCACCTTGAGGATAAAGGTTTTCCTCAAAATGTGAAACCGCCTCGTTGCTTTCTGGCAGAAACTGCAGCTCACGGCATTTAGTCATGACAGAAGAGACATCACTGCTGCTTACAGCGTCTGAACTTTCCATATTATTTTCACGTCGGCTTGACTCCTGATTAGCAGCGGTGTTTGATGCTTCAGTTTCATGTTGTTTTTCTGCAATGTTTCCAAGAGGCGACGCCAAGCGACCAACTGGGCTCTCAGACTTCTCCAAAAGCTCCACCGAGGAAAGCCGAGTCTCGTTTCCAGCGTTGGGTATATTCAGGACTCGTGACTTTTCCTCAGCACGACAGTAAATGTGATCGTCGTGCTTGCTTCCAGGCGTCAAAGCAGCGAAGCTCTGAGCATCATTTCCACTGATGTCGTTTAAACAAGACAGGCATTGTTCCTCTGTAAGATTCTCCATAAGCGCAGACATTTCTGACACACTGGATTGAGCAGCAATTTCTATTTCACCCCCAGAGCAACACAAGCCTTTAAATGTGATCTCTCCTTCCCCGCGAGATACTCCACGCCGTCCTTCAGAGAGATCAGCTTGATTGTTATCGTTTAGGTTCACTGTGTTCTCAGGCTCTTCACATAAAGATGCACGGACACAGTAAGAATGACCGCTTACTGATACAGCCACTTTACAAACAGGAGTATGTTGGGCTCCTGATGCCTTCATGAGAAGGGATTCATCAGAGACGGCGGAGCGCCCAGAAACCTGAACCTCTCCAGCCAAGCACACGAGGGATCCGAGTGAGATGTTTTCCTCTTGCCCCAGACACAGAGCAGATGAAGCACTACACGGGCTGCTGTGATGATCAACAGGACTCTGCTCATCCGGGTCACTCTGAGCCGCGTCGGTTTCTTCCAGTGCCAGCCGCCTGATGAGAACAGACTCCTCCGACATTACAGCTTCATCCTGAACGACGACTTCTGCTTCAAGACACACGAAGGACTTTAATACGACATCCTGATGTTGGTCGGTTTCATCCGCTGCAAACGGGCTTTCCCCAGAGACGACTTCAACCTGGAGGAAGACAGAACATGGCAGCTGAGGTCACAGTTAAAGCAATCTGAAAGCAGTGAGGGAACATCTCCATACCTGTATTTTAGGACTGTCCTGCAAATTCAGCAGTTTGTTCTGAAACGTTACATCTCTGAGCGGAACTCTTTCTGATCTTGGCTGAAATAAAGCACGTAAACGCTGATTAATGTCAGATAGCGGGAACAACACGGATCATATTTATTCATTCTGCGGAGTAACGTTACTCACATTCGACGAGCCGCCGGCAGATGACATGTTTTCAGATTCAGATCTGCGATCTGAGGAGATTAACGCTTCATGAGTTCGCGAACAGTCTTTATTTCGACAGACTAACCGGACAAACCCAAAATATTATCACTGATTTATTTATATTAACGCGTGTTCTTTCTTGAACTCTTACCTTTGCGGATCATACACGCTTTTCTGAGCATTACCGTTTATGTTAATCCTGAGGGGAAACGAGAGTTGTCGATTTAACCGCCAGTGGCGCGTTCAAAATAAAACGCACGATCACCTGATTGGATAAAAATCCACCGGAAACGCGGCTCTTCTTCTTCTCTGCTTTCCGTGTTCACAGCGCCGCATTAACCCTCAAAGAGCCGAACACCGAGAGAAAAACACAAACAGAACTGTGAAGATTTTTACATGTTGTTGTTGTTGTTGTTGTTGTTGTAGGAGGCCTCTAATGCAGAAATATATCGCCATATATCCTAACCCTAATCTGCGCTCAGGAACAAAACAGTCAGGTGTCTCCAGATCTCAATGATAATATATATATATAGTATATAATAAATATAATGATATGATGTCAGTTCTGTCCATCTTTCCTGCTCCTCCTGATGTCACTCCAAACCCATTATGAGTTTGATTTTTCTGTGGAACATAAGGGAAGATATTTTGAGAAAAGTCCATCAATTTTTTTCTTCATCCATGCAATGGAAGTCAGTGTTCAGCCAAAATTGTTTGGTTACCATCATTCTTCAAAATATCTTCTTTTGTGTTCCACAGAAGACAGCAACTCAATGACATCATGTTATTTTCTGGGTGAACTAACCCTTTAATCTGTCTTATTGATTTATGACTAACTAAACGTAGTCTGTGTAGCTGTCTGCACTGATAGCAGCAGGACATTACAAATATTATCTCCAACCAGATTAAAATCATCATTTCAAAACCTTCACTACAAACACATTAAGATATTAGTTCACAGCACAGATATAGGTTAGCACTATTCTCAGCACACAAAAAAACTGTATTGCTAGTTGTGTTGTATTGCTGCATTAAATTATTTTCAAGAATTTAATAAAATGTGTTGTTTTAATCGTGTAGTTTGTGTGTGATCATTTATTACATGTGCTTGTTGAAGTGAAGCTTTTTTTTTTCTAGTTTACAATCACTAGAGGGCACAAAAGTGCTATAATGTAACCATTTTTATTTTATTTTATTAATATATCTGGATTGTTTGACAGAGTACTGATGAGTGGCATATACACATAGAAACGTGATTTTTAATAATATACATTTGTTCTTGTTTCAGGCTTAGAAATCCTTAGAGCTAGTAAATGAGTTAATTACAATGCATTCTTCAGTAGAAAAGCGACTCAGATCATGAAACTCTCAGGTAGACTGTGTGGTTGAGCTGAAGCTGGAGGATCCGCCGGCATCGAGCTTCGACTCTCTTCAGGTGCATCATCCACCGCACCTGAAACCACTCGATGTTACTCAGTTGCTCTGACAACAAGCAAATTCATAAAATGCTTAACTGTATAAATGAACCACCCAATGATTAGAGAGATTTCTGCAAACACCTGCATCAATGACGAGGCTCTTCTGAGGCATGTCTTCCTCCTCTTCGGGCCCCAGATCCTCGATCAGAAAGCCTTGCAGAGGATTTTCACTCTGTTTCCACAGACAGCGGCTCTGCTATCGTGGGTACGTCAGGCACTGTGACGGCGCAAGGATCTGATTCCTGAGCCTGATCTTCTGGAACATCTACAGGTGCACCTTTCCTTCCCGGGCTACCGCTGCTCCTCTTTTTCACTCTTTTGAGACCTTGTGCTCTGTTGGATATTAGGAGATAACTAACCCAAATTTGTGCATGTGCATCACAACATCACAGTGTGACAGGAATGAAAGTATGAATAGGTGCTCTACAGCCTTCTCCAGTGTTTCTATTAGCCTCGTTCAACACTATCTTTATCCATAAACCCACTGGTTGGTTGCCTTTTCCTCTGCCTCGGCCTTTCGTTTCTTCAGCAGGTCTCCGTCTCTCAGTCGCAGCCGAATTCCTTCAACCAAACAGACAAATCGCTCAGTGCTTTGCTGCAGGTATTGCAGTGAGGAGAGCTCATGAGTGCATGAAGAGCCACTCAAGGCATGTTTCAGAAGAAATGCAGATGCACTGACACAGGTGAGGTTGTCGCCACACAAATATATTCTTAAAACATTTTGCTAAAGTTTTCATTATGTTATAAAATCGTTATTTATGGAGGTTCCCTGAACATTTAAAACATCCAGTTTTTAAACATTTTAAAAACGTTCTTTTCTTGGCTATGCATTGCAAACGTTAAAGGCACAATATGTAATTTTCGCCGCTAGAGGGCGCGTATTCAAAACAAACAAAGAGACAAAGGCGTAGTTTGATGACTGAGTGTGGAATCATGGGAGTTGTAGTCTTCATCTCCACAGCCGATGCAATCCGACGGGACTCGGACAGAAATCATGTTCATGGATGAGCTAATGATTTATTAACGTAGTAGAATGAAGCAGGGTGAGGCTGAAAGCCGTCAAAGCGAAACGAGGCGCTGAACGAGCGCGACACACGGCTGCATTGGCAGGCGACACAATGACACTATGGACACGGTCCGTGTCACTAGTTAAAATTGCTTATTTCTCTGGATTTAAACATTCTTCGAAACATTTGGGATAATGTAAGCACACAAGTCAGCAAAATATACAACACTGTTCTAGTGGTTATTGGATGTTTTAATAAAAAAATATTACATATTGTGCCTTTAAGGGAACATTTGATAATTTTATCAAACATTACAGAAATGTACATTTTTTATGTTCTTTTGTAATATTTAAAAACATTAGCTGACCTTCCAACTAAACAATTTCAGTAAAAAAAAAAAAAAAACGAGGGCTGCATGAATAACGTTTTTGTGCCAGTATTACTGAAAGAACATTTGTTCATCATTTTGAGAATGTTCATTGTTAGCTTGAGTTATTGGTGCAAAATCTTTCAAATATCTCATTATCGTTGCAAAAAAAACAAAAAAAGTAGCAAATGAATATTATGTATCGCAGTGCAAATTACAGACCTATAAACGAAAGAACTACTCATGAAACGCTTTGTGTTTGTCATCTGATATAAAATGTTTTCACTAACGGACAAGCAATGAATAAATTGATAATGAGCAAATTCAGGCAATCGGGCTCTTTTTAAAAATGATTCATCATGACGTTTTAAATCCAAAGTCGTACCTTCGTCAGAATCTTTTACTTCAGATGGCAGGATCTCTTTCTCCATTGTATTGTCCCGTCACATGAATATGAAGCATTGAAGTGACAGGGCTGAAATAAAATTGCACCCATTTACTTTTCCTGCTGCTAAGAGAATAATTATCTGGTTAAACATTACCGTAGTGCTGGGAGAGTTCTTGCAGTTGTGCTCTTATCTTATTTGCAAAGGTGGAGAACTTGGCACAATACTGACCGAAGAGAGTAAACAAAGGTCATGACGCTGCATTGTCTGTCGTCACGAGAGATGACCGCTATTCCTGACTTGGTCAAGGGCCGTAGACAGACATCTAGCTAAATGATCAGTAAAATCAAATATAAACCAATAGACATCACAAACTGGAGACTGACCTGTATATCATTGTGAAGAGTTGCTGCTCAGTGAAAATGGCTTGGTTCCCAAGAGAGCGTCTCCATAACGTTCCTCATAACATTCAACAAGTCTAACCATATCCTGCTACAATAATCCATTTGCATGTTTTCTTATCCTTTCTTAATTGTTCTGTAAACACATGGATCTCACATATACACTCTTAAAAATAAAGGTTCCCAGTGGGGTTTCATAGAGAGATGCCACAGCGTTCCCCAAAAAAACCTTTAAAAGAACCATTTTCTTTTCTGAGTGTGAAAAACATTTTCATGCTCTGCAGAACCAGCTTATGTTCTGTTCTCAAATGAATGAATCCTCACACGCTAACCGTCTCTTGAAGTGTTCACGGTTAGCATTCCAGCCACAATAAACCATCACTTTTTAACAAATGAAGCTGACATTAAAGGCGTTTCTGTATTTGCATGTTATTTGAATACTCAAAAGGGCTGTGAAGCGCCAGCACTCTGTGGCCAGTCATACATAACCTTTGTATCTCTTCTGCTCACTTTCTAGGTGTGTTCACAATCCTGTCCGAACACATTGAGCTCCTCTGTCCCGCATTAAAGCAGATACTGTGCATCCAGCTCTGAGCTTCATGAATTAAATATGACATACCACAGACATTCATCATTTATCTTAAACTGAAATGATTTATAAATTTCCCCATTCAGGCTTTTTATTAAAGGGAAGGTGTTTTTGCAGTCTGAGTTGTTTTGTACAAAACAGCCTCATATTCTCTCATGCAATCATTGGCCCTAATGACACCAAATAAGAACTTTACATCTCCTAGCATGCTGGTGAAAACTAGCTCAGGGCTTCTCATATAGGTGCTCATCTGGGAAGAGCGAGTGTCTGACCCCGCTTCTTTCACGTGTAGCGAATGGAGTCAATATTTTCGAAATGCTTTCTTTTGAAATAGGGGTCATCGGATGCTACATGCACTTTTACAAGTTGTCTGAACTGAAATGTTCGTGATCCAGCTTCATCTACAGAAGAAGTGAGTGTAAGGTTTTTTAATGAATCTTTGCAAACCGCCTTTCCTAATAATGTGCTAATTAGCAAGTTTCATGATGAATGCGGCTAAAGTAAACAGTCTCTATGAGAGCAGCTCAGAAGAGAGGGGCGGAGTCAGCAGAGCTCATTAACATTTAAAGGAAAATGCTACAAAAACGGCTTGCTCTGAAAAGAGCTGTTTTTGACAGGGTAAAAAAGGTGTTTTTTACACTACCATTGAGATTTTAACCAAACTATGTTACAGACTTTCATTAAGACCCTAAAGAATCATATCAACGTGTGGAAAACAGGCATCCTATGACCCCTTTAAAGAAATGTAAGGTGTAATGCCGATGCAATTGACTCTCCTTTGGTTCTTGCTGCCTCGGGTTGCACATAGTATGTTCTTATTATATAGTACAGAAAGTTTTCTATCAAACGATACCAAGCTTTTGACTCTCCTTGCTACAGTCTTCGAGTTATGAGTCAGAACTCAGAAAAAACATCAACTTCAGTGAGGCACAAATGCCCTCAGGGCATAAAGGGTTAATGTAAAGTGCCTCTCCTTTGCATATGCTTTTGTAATTGTTATTATGACCCCTCAGTGTCTCTAATATTGAAGAGAAATCTGACAATGTAGAAACAAAATGATGCCCTCTTCTGGCAAGTTTCTAGTACAGCAAGTGAACTTGTTTATAACATTAACACGAGGCACTAATATATTTGTAATATAAACACTATGTATAATTTATATTGTATACATTATTTAAAAACCCTTATTTAAAAACAAAACAGTTTGTCTCTCTGCAGTAGAGAAACATGAAACAAGTTTCAAAGAGAGAAATAATGTTCGTTTAAATTTGTTAGAATCTTTTAATAGTGGCTTTATATAATATACTAATATAGCTGATGGAAAGAGAGCACTCCATTTGACAATCTACGACAACGGAATATGCAGTAATATGATCATATTTTGTAATCATCATTTAAATCTGACTAATCTTTAAACTGTTTGTCATAAATCAACATCTCGGGGTTTCAACTCAAAACGTTCTGTTATGAAACAGATAATAACACAACAAATGAATAGGGAAAGAAATTATACTTCAATATTCCTATGAAATATTAGATATTACCATGAAAATCTTGCCTATTATTACACTTAGTTTTTCATGACATGTTGCCGCAGGAACACATCGATATGCAAATGAGTTACAGTGAAGAGATACATTGTATATAATAGAAACCCGTTTATGACCATTTTACACACATAAAGAAAAACGGTATATCAAAGCACCGTTACATCTTTCATAGCAGCTGAGAATCATCTTTATACAAATTTTGGTATAATAAAATCCTGAAACCTAAAAACTTATTGATAAAAAAAAATTTGTTTTTTTTTTAGCCTATTTTTAATTTGTATTTCTTATGCTCTAAGCAACGTAACGACATAGGTGCGAGAACTCGTCCTTGACAACTGCAGATCAAATGAAGGGAAAATCGAAGGCCTCACAGCGGAATTTGTTAATCTTGAGTTTCTAAGTTTGATAAATGTCGGTCTACTCTCGGTCTCCAACCTCCCCAAGCTCGGAAAGCTTAAAAAGGTAACCGCACACAATCCTGACGGGGCTGTGGTGAGAGATATGTATTTGTGTTGTGATGTGGATGTGTTTTAATTCTCAGTTGGAGCTCAGCGACAACAGAATCTCTGGCAGCCTTGATGTTTTAGCTGAAAAACTCCCCAATCTCACACATCTAAACCTAAGCGGCAACAAACTGAAGGACATCAGCACGCTGGAACCCTTGGTTTGTACAGACTTCATGTTTCCGCCGCTTAACCTTATAAAGTCTGCCGTATCATAACTTGATCGATTTCTAGCTCCTCTAAACTATGCGCTTGCGTGTCTCAATTTTTAAAAAATAAACAAAATAAGAATATATTTGATATTATTAATATTGTGAGTTGAACACTCACTGGACTGAAGCAACTTAGGTTTACTTGATTTTAGAAAGATTATTATAAAACGGAGAGTTCCGGTGCTTGATTCTGATTGGCTGAGCCGCGTTCGAAGCTGTTGTAAATGACTCTACAAAGTAACATACACCTTTGTTTACGTTTGTCTGTTGCTCGGCAACCACTTTGTAGCAACCACAACTGATTCTGAGGAGCTACATTGTTTGGTGGAAGAATACTGTTTTTATTAATATCATTACACTTTATTTGCTCCGTTTTATTTTGTGAAACCTTACTACGTATATGGAATAACCGTTTTATAAAAGCAATAAGCCCCGTGAAGCCGTGGTTTACAGTGAATTTATAACAGCTAAGGGGGTTTATATTAACTCGTGCCTAACAACGCCCCTTAGCTGTTATAAATTCACTGTAAACCACGGCTTCACGGGGCGCATTGCTTTATTTTAAAATGTATTCAATACGATACATCCAGCTTTTGAGAAACGTTTATTTGTAAATCTGTCATGAATTTGATTGCATTGCATTATACAAAAACTGTGGTTCTGAGCATAAAACTAAGCATTTAAATATAATCTCACTGAGATGTTTTATTGAGAGGTATAAAAATGCATGTAAATATCAGCTGTCACTGTCATCTCATTGATCTACATTACAAGCTATCAGAAGTTCATCTAGCTTTTTGGTCGTAAAAAAAGCATCTGCACCAAATTGCATATTTTTGTGCCTCTAAATAAAACTGGGGTGTTTTTTTTCCCTTTTCTGAGTATGCGCTCAATTCTTTTGTGTCATACTATATATGAGCCATAAAAGCGCAAATAAAAAAGTGTGCAATGTTTGAACAGCTTTGCTGGAAATGAAACCCTAACTGGACTTGTACAGTTTTGTGATCGATCCGCTCGCTTTGGCAGAAAAAACTCGACCATCTGAAGAGTCTCGACCTTTTCAATTGCGAAGTCACAAACTTGAACGACTACCGGGAAAGCGTCTTCAGGCTCCTCCCACAGCTCGTTTATCTGGACGGCTACGATTTGGACGACCGCGAGGCGTCGGACTCTGACGGAGAAGCTGACGGAGTCGATGATGACGATGATGAAGGTCGGTGTGGCCAGCTTTCCGTTTCGGCCGTTGAGTTATTTTGGGGGGTTGCTGATGTTCATTTGTATCACTTTCAATGCAGATGGAGAAGAGGAGGATGAGGATGGAGAGGAGGATGAGTTTGATGAAGACGACGATGATGATGAAGATGAGGTTGAAGGCGAGGAGGACGATGAGGAGGGCAGTGGAGAGGATGAGGTATGTGCGTTGCTCGTGAAATAACACTAATAACAAAACTGATTTAATGACAAAACCTCGTCGATTTCAGGAGGAAGAAATTGGTCAGGATGGAGAAGTAGAAGATGATGATGACGATGATGACGACGATGATGAAGGTGAGTTGTATTCAGGGATTAAAGTTCCGTCAGTTCATAAAGAGTCACGTGCTTCATTCCTGAATGATTCAGCCGTTCGAACGAATCAATTGAATGAATGATTCAGTGATAAAATCAGTGACTTGCCGCCACCTGCTGGCGGAGTTAGTTTAATTTTTAGCATATAATTTTCATATTTCTGTATTCAAAATGTTATATTTAAAACATTGATCTCCACATGAATTTATGAATTGCACTCATGCGCCCTCTGAGCCTCATTAAACGTGTTCTTCTGTGCCACCTCTGTACAAATTAATTTATTAATACTGATTTCATATGATTGGTAACTTGTCTTATTCTACATATTGTTTTAAAAAGATTATAAACATAGATTGTTGAATCTGACAGATGAAAATGATGCCATTGCAAAGGTAAAAAGAAAATACTCCTGTAAGTCACTTTAAGGAGTCGCATGTTACCTTGTATTAGGAAGGCTAATTTTTATCAGGTAAGTTTTTTTAAATTTCTATTTAAAGCAATATAATAACAAGTAGAATAAGACAAATAAGTTACCAATCATGAAATCAGTATTAATAATTTAATTTGTACTACAGAGGTGGCACAGAAGAACACAAAAGGATGTTTAATAAGTCTCAGAGGTGACATGAGTGCAATTAAATTCATGTGGAGATTAATGTTTTAAAGAGAGTGTGAGTGTGTGTGTGTGTGTGTGTGAGAGAGTGTGAGTGTGTGTGTGTGAGAGAGTGTGTGTGTGAGAGTGAGAGTGAGAGTGAGTGAGAGTGAGTGTGAGTGAGAGAGAGAGAGAGAGAGAGTGAGTGTGTGTGAGAGAGTGTCTGTGTGTGTGAGTGAGAGAGAGTGTGAGAGTGAGTGTCTGTGTGTGAGTGAGAGAGTGAGAGTGAGTGTCTGTGTGTGAGTGAGAGAGAGTGTGAGAGTGAGTGTCTGTGTGTGTGAGAGTGTGCGTGTGCGTGTGCGTGTGTGAGTGTCAGTGTGTGTGAGTGTCAGTGTTTGTGTGTGAGTGAGTATGTGTGAGAGTATCAGTGTGTGTGTGTCAGTGTTTGTGTGAGTGTGTGTGTATGTGTGAGAGTGTGAGTGTGCGCTGCAGATGATGAGAGATTATAACATACACCTTTTCATTTTTTACATTCAGCTCTGCATGAACAAATAATGACTTAATATTCTAATTTGACAATTAGCTAAAACAGAACAAATAATTATCTAGCTCCAGATTCTCAAAACGGACACAGCCTAGACACAAAAAAATCGTATAAAACATATTGACAGCTTCTAAGAAAAATATGTGTTCTAAGCATTAAATTGCGATCGGCTAGAAACGCATACTTTTTTAATTCAGCTCTACATAAATAAATAATACATCCAAGGAATAATTCACATTTCTCCCGATCTTCAGTTACAAAAATTGAAAATCACAATAAATTAATATAAAGCATATCGACAGTTTCTGTAAGAAATATGCACATACTAAGCTGTGACTTGGTTCAAATTAATCTGGTGTTTTTCTGAGTGCTCCAGCCCCGGATCGGCGCCTATGAATTTAAAGGGGTCATATGATGCTGCTAAAAAGAACAGTATTTGGTGTATTTGGTGTAATGAAATGTGTT